TGGCCCAGGGGCGCTGTGGGGCGTGCAGCACTTTGGGTGCTTGGCAGATTAGGGTCCCGGCTCCCGGCTGCTCGGCCATAGGGCAGGACCCTCCAGGAGCGCCCACGTTGCCTGGCAAAGGGCTCCGGTCCTCTGCACCGCACTTGAGCCTGGGGAGGGAGGCCGGGGGCGGGAGTCAGAGGAGGCTTCTGGCCCTTTGCGGTTGTCCTCAAAGATGACCACTTGCTCTAGAGTCGGGCTGGGGGTGATAATGTAAAAATCATGGAAAACTGAGCACAGCAGGGCTGGGGACCCATACAACTCCTTCCTGCCTTCCAACCCCAAATCCATTCTGTCAGGGCCCACAGCCAAGAGGGCCCTAGAAATCTCAACTCTCAACGGTCTGGGCAGGTTCTGGATCCCTGTGCTTTCTCCCCTATCACCCCACCACAAAGAGAGCTACATGTGGTCCTCTCCCCAACCACACATCCCTCTCTCCAAGCAAACAGCATTTTCCCCAGAGTCTCCTGGGAAAGCCTGGAGTTTAGTGTCAGTCAGACCTGGGTTAGGGCCCAAGGGACTGAAGGAGAATGAGTCATGGGCAGAAGCCCCAGGATATGTTTGGCCTAGTGGATATCCCTTCCCACCCCTCCCACTCTCTTCTGTCCCTGACTTCCTTCTGTTTCTCACCACCTTCTCTTCCCTTCATAATCCCACCAGAGCTTTTTGTGGGTAATCAGTTCAAATCCTAGTTTAGGTACTTCATTAGCTGTGAAAATTTAACCTTTGAAGGCTTAATTTGTAAACTGGAGATGGTTCTACCTCATTCAAAACCGTTTGAAAGGGACAAGGTTATAGTCACTTCTTGGCCACAGCCAGCTACCCAGAGGGAGGGAGTAGTTGGACCTGTGGGCTCAGGACCATAGTCACAGGGTATATTAAGCTCAATTGGCATAACATATTACACAAAAACATTGTTCCACGTCCTACTTTGGCGAGTAGCGACTGGGATCTTAAAAGCTTGCAAGCAGCCATCTAGATGCAACGATGGGTCTCTCCTCATCCAAAGCAAAGAAGAATGAAGAAAACCAAAGATTCATGGAAACAATTAGTTCTTGCGACCGGTACACTATGCGATCCTCAGCCTATACGACTATGAGACCAGAAGAACTAGATGGTGCCTGGCTACCACTGTCAACCACTCAGAGGGGGATCTATGTAGGAGATACTGGATAGAGAGGGAGAACAATGTGGAACAATACTCAAAATCATTTGGGAAAAAAAAGGGGGGAGACCAGGTTTGCTGGTCTGATACAGCCTGATGGAACCACTGAGACTATGGCCCATAGTTGCCCTTCAGGTCTGGAACTGAACCCACTCCTGTGGCTTCCGGTCAAACAAAAGACAGGCATATGAGCTGAACATTTACATTAGGTAGATACACTCCTTGGAGAGAACAATCATGGGAGAATAGAAGGGCTTGTGTATGCACAGGGAGACAGCTCAGAGGGTAAGAATGCATGGAGGGTGGACAGAGGGAAGAGGTAACTATAGGGAGGAAGTAGGAGGGGAGCTGTTGCATTGTGGTAAATTGCAGTCGATGTCATGAGACAAAGTGTATGTGAGCTGCTATATGGAAAGTGAATTTGTTCTGTAAACTTTCACCCAAATCACAATTTTTTAAAAAAACCTGTTTGAGGATTAAATGGGAAAGCTGAACCCCTACCAAAGGAGCTCTGGTGGCATAATGGGTAGTTCTAAACCCACCAGATGCTCTGCAGAAGGAAGATGAGGCAATCTGCTTCTGTAGAGATTTACAACCTTGTAAACCCAATGGGAGCTCTGGAGGTATAGTGCCTAAGGCATTTGACTGCTAACCAGAAAGCTGGCAGTTCAAACCCACCAGCCACTCTTTAGAAGGAAGATTGGGCAATCTACTTTTGTAAAGATACCACCTGGGAAACCCAAGGAGGGGTCACTATGTGTTGGGATCAACTCGATGGTAATGAGTTTGCTTTTTTTTGATTTAAACCCAACAGGGTCACAATGAGTCAAAATTGACTCAATGGCAGTAGGTTTGTTGTTGTTGTTAACCTCTACCTGGGCCCAGCACATAATTAAAAACCTTTGTCCCACTCCCACCTCCCCTTTACTTGCAGTTTAAGATTGCCTCCTCCAGAAAGTCTTTTTAAATTTACTCTTCTCTGTTACCTCTCTTGCCAATCCCTGAAACATCAAAGAGTCTTCTTTTGATAACCTGCTGAGCTTGGTGGCCAAAGTGAAAACTAAATTCCTCCTCTGCCCCAGACTCTGGGCAGGACTCCCATGGAGAAAAATTTCATTAGTGAGAGCAAAAGGGATGCAGATTTTAAACATTTAAATATCTAGACCAGTTCTGTCCAATAAAACCTTCTGCGATGATGTAAATGTCTAGGAGCTATCAGGCACATAAGCTCTTGAAATATGGCTACAGTAAATGAGAAACTAAATGTTTTATATTATTTTAATTACGAATTAAGTAGCCACATATAACTAAAAAACCCATTGTTGTAGAGTTGATTCCAACTCATGGTGACCCATGTGTACAGACTAGAACTGCACTCCATAGGGTCTTCAAGGCTGTGACTTCTTGGACACAGATCACCAGGCCTTTCTGCTGAGGTGCTTCTGGTAGGTTTGAACTGACAACTTTTTGGATAGTAGTTGAACACTTAACCATTTTCACCCCCCAAGGACCCTTCACATATAACTGTTGTGTACTATATTGGATAGATGACAAGGGATGGCTAATAGATTTATCTCATGTGCCAACACAGGACAATCAGAGCCCCAACAGGTTCACTGGGCATTTTCCTGCAAATTAGAAAAGGTGACCCCTCCAGGCAAACAAATTAGCCGAAGATGGCCCCTCCTAATGCCCCCTAGGAGCTCTGGTAGCATAGTGCCTAAGGCACTTGACTGCTAACCAGAAGGCTGGCGGTTCAAACCCACCAGCCACTCCTCGGAAGGAAGGTTGGGCATTCCTACTTCCGTAGTGATACTGCCTTGGAAACCCAAGGAGGGGTCACTATGAGTCAGGGCCGACTCGATGGCAAATAACAACAACAATGCAGCCCAAACCAGAACAGGGCTCCTGCTTCTGCCTAGCTCACTTGTGAAGGTCAAAACCTGCATAATTTATGCCAAGATTGTGCTGAGAAAGATTCGGAAGCCATGTCTGGGCTCATTAGTAAAGAGTGCTATGACTAACAATGTGTACTATGGTTTAGGGAGAGTGAGTGGCAAGTCAAGAAAGCAGCACATATGCAATAAATTTGCCATTCCTGATCTAGACACTCTGCAGTTCCACCTCTGACTTCCCTCAGCAGCAACCCCCTGCCTAACCCAGGCAGTCACTGCCACAACTTCCCTCCATCTTCCCCATCTCAGAAAATGATCACATTACCCAGGTGCTCAAGCCAAACAACAGGGAATCATCCTGGAGTCCTCTCTTTGCCTCATCCTTCACATCCAAGCCATCAAAAGGCCTGTTGAGATCTACCCTCATCATCTGAAATCCACCCACTTCTCCCAGTCTCCTTGGGCACTATAATCCACACCACCAGTTTCGCACCTGTGACTGTAATGAGCTCTGATAGTGTAGAGGTTAAAGCATTCAACTGCTAGCCAAAAGGTGGGTAGTTCAAACCCACCAGCCACTCCATGGGAAAAAGATAAGGCAGTCTACTTCTGTAAAGATTTACAGCCTTGGAAACTCTATGGGGCAGTTCTGTTGTTGTTGTTATGTGCCATCATCTCTTTCTCGTAGCGACCCCTCTCGGGTTTCTGAGGCAGTATCGCTATAAAAGCAGATCGCCCAATCTTCCTTTCAAGGAGTGGCTGATGGGTTTGAACTGCCAACTTTCTGGTTAGCAGTCAAGTGCCTTAGGCACTATGCCACCAGAGCTCCTACTCTGTCCTAAAAAGGGTCACTATAAGTCAAAATCAACTCAATGGCAACAGATTTGTTTTTTTTTGGTTACTGTAATAATCTCCTACCTGGTCTTCTGTTACCCTGCTTGCCAATTCCTCCACACACAATCTTCCAGTTTATTCTCCACTGCAGCCATTGTTTAAAAACACTAATCAGTCATTCCTTTGCTTAAAGCCCTTGCATGGTCTAACATCACATTTAGAGTGAAATCCAAGTGTCCTATCATAGCCTTCAAGGTCCTTTATGATCTGACTCCTATCCACCATCTCAACCCCAACTATGTCCCAGCCACACTGGCTTTCCCACAAACATATCAGCCTCATCCTTATCTTTGCCCTTGGTATACCTCCTCTCCTGTCTAGAAAGCCCTCCCTCCAATCTTCACATTTTCATCTCCTCACAGAGGCCTTCCCTGACCTCCACATCTAATGCTGCCCTCCCCACCTGATTTTGACTACATCCCCGTTGTCATCATAATTTTACCATGTGAGATCATTTTTTCATGTGTTTGCATGTCTACTGTCTCTTCTCCACTAGAATGGGCCATTCCTATCTTGTTCACTGAGGTATTCCAAGGGTCTAGAACAGAGCTATGCACATAGTAAGTGTTCCATAAGTGTGGTTTAAAGAATAAATGAATACATAAATAACTCCTGCTATCTCCAGGGTTAGTAGATACCTTACTCCTGATCCACAGCTCATTTCCCCTTCTCTAATAAGCCTACATCGTGGCTGCAAATCTCTTTCACAGTGAACTCCTTTCTTCCTCTCATACCTAAAATGATCTTTCATCTCCAGAACACACATGCACACCCATCCACAGAGCTTCCAGAAATAAGTGCAAAGACCCTGTTGCCATCATAATGCTCTGATCAGTGGAACTGAGCCTGGGTCCTCTTAGTACCCAAGAACCACCTGCATCTCTTCCTGCTTTGAGCAGGCCCTACCCTCCCCCTCAGCCCCAGCAGGGAAAGGCAGGGCAGAGATGGGGACTGGGATGCAAGCAACCAGAGGATATGTGTATATTCTCCAGGGGTGGGGGCATTACCTCCAGGCTGAGTGCCATCTGCCGAATGTAGAGCATATTCAGGTCCTCCAGGATGTGCAATCTGTCCTGCATCTCTGTGCCCCCCAGTACCCCTTCCCTTGCAGCCCCTCCAGAGGGGTGGGGCAGACACCACGTTGCCCCACAATTCCTCCTCCCACTGCTCCCTCAGTCTTGACAGAGGCAGGCAGCTCTTGGACAGTAGGCAAAAGCTGTCCCTGTTCCTATGCGCTCCGGTTAGACCCCTCTGGCTTCTGTGACAAACTTCTTGCCTACTGTTTGCTGTTCCGGACCCTGGTAGGAGCCAGGCAGGGAGGAAAGGAAAGCGAGGTGAGGATGAGCGGGGTCCCAGAAGGAGTGGCCAGCTGCAGAGGGGACTCTGGGCACAGAGTGTCCAGTCTTGCTTTGGTGGCAAATGTTCTCCCAGCTGTGGAAGAAAAAGGCCCTTTCATTTCGGTTCTGGTCTCTCCCCAGCCCCCGCCCACATCCCTGGCCTGGTGGACAGAGAATCTGTGTGCAAAGAGGGCGTGAGGGGCAGGCACAGCCGGACGGGGGCAGGGAGAGGACATCTCATGCAGGTCCTGCAGATTCATGGGGTTTGCCAGGAGGTTGGAGCTTTCCGGAGAGGGGTTCTGGCATAGTTTGAGAGTTAGGAGGAATAGGGACAGAGGTGAGGACTTGAACGGAGAAGAAGCCCAGAGTGGGACAAAGCGTAGGTATTACGGCCCTGCTCCCTAAACCACCGCTTCCAACTCAGGGCCCCCATCCAGCCCGCCCCACCCTGGACTCACAATTACCTCGATTTTCCAGCAGAAAAGAGAGGGAGGGAGAAAGTCAGGGGTGTGCCTGTCTGCTGCTGCCCCCGCTCCCTCTGCGGGCCCCTTCCCTTCCAGACAGGAAACCAGCACCGATTCCCAACCAGCTCCCCCCTCCACCCCAGGCCCAGGAGTCGCACTCCCCTAGGCGGCTGGCCGGGCCCTGCAGCTCCGCCCCAAGCTCCTCCACGCGGCTCCCTAAGGCCAGGCTCATCCTGGGGGCGGCTCCCCCATAGACCCCTCCTCCTGGTCCCCAGGCCTCGCCCCCCACCCCCTCACGCGCGGGTCCCTCGGGGAGAGTTGCTAGAAGCAGACCAACAAAAGTCCCCTCCCCCTTCTACCATCTGAACCAGAGAAGGCTCGGGACACGGGGGCACGAGTGTGAAAGGGCCTTTGTTCAGGGCAGGCGGGAGGAATTGGGCAAAAGCTACGCCTGGAATCTCGGCGGAGAAGGAGAGGAAGGCCCTCCTCACTTAACCCTTTCCAGGCCTTGGAGAGAAAAGAGCTTGGAATTGGACTCTCCTTGGGCAGGTGTGAGGCTGACCTTGAAGGAGGTCCTACAGGGGGCTAATCGCCCTCGCAGTCCTTGCTCAGTCCCATAACTTCAAGCCCTTCCCGAGACACTTTGGAGAGTTACAGGTAGGGCTCAGTACGAGACAACGTGTAGACCCGTGGGGCCGGGTGGAAGCTCTCAAACTAGAGGCTGGACTCCTCCTGGGACCCAGGGAAAGAAGTGGAAAGTTTGGGGATGGAAATTCCCCACTTCCCTAGCAGAGCGAAGAGCTTCACCCAAGGGAGCAGAGACCTGACCTAGAAGTTGAGACAGGTTTGCAGGATTGGGCCGGTGTCCGGGGAAGGAGAGGGAGCCCAAGGCAGGCCAAGAGTCCGAGCTCTTGGGGCCCGCCTACCTTGCCACCTCCTTTGGCCCTGGGATTGCTGCGGAGGGCAGGGATCCAGGCATATTTTGGAAATCGAGCCTGAGGTCCCTCGAATCGAGACCAACCCTTTTTCCAGGCAGAGCCTAATAATCCCACCCCTGCCCCGGAGTCTGGTGAGGTACAGGTCTGATTAATGTGCAGAGATCTGCGCCTTGTGAAATCAACAACTCCTGCACTGTTTGTGTCCAGACCGCTGCGTCTCCGCCCCTCCGCGTGCGTGCGTGCGTGTGGGGGCAAGGCGGCCAGGGGTGCGGGAGCCCGGGAAGGGGAGGTCTAGGACGCGGGTCTCTCACCTCCGGCGTGTCGCTGAAAAGGCTGAGTCGGAAGCGGCCGCGTTTGAACTCCATCTCCAGGGCGGAGCCCCGGGCCACTGTGACTCGGCTCCGGTGGTTTCGGGTGAACATGCTGGCGGCTCCGCGCCTTTGCCCGCCCTGTGCGCTTCCCGCGCCGCCCGGCTCTGCCTGGTCTCGCCTGTTTCAGTCCCTCGACGCCCGCTCCTAGTCCCGCGAGTATCTCCCGCTGCGCGTTTCCCAAACCCCGCCCTCTGAGACGACACCTGGGCAGGGCAGGGCAGGGCGAGGCACCCTCCTCCTCTACCCCCGCAAAAGCCCGGCCCGGCAAGGCCCGGAGTACCGATCGGGCCTGACCCGACAGCTAGTTACCCTAACAGCCAGGGACACCACACTTCGCGACCCATGCAGGGACGCAGCAGCTCTTTCCACCCGGCCCCTGGGCGCCTCACCTGGGCATGGGCGGGCCCAGAGAGGCCCCGCCCCATCAGCTACCCCCACCTCGCGGGCCCAAGGTCCTTGGGCTCGGACAACCTCGTGACCACTTGAGCCGCAGCGTGGCACACCCCAGCTCTTGTTGGGTTCTGGGACTGCGCCCACTCTCACCGTCAAGCAGTCTTTTCAACCTCTCCAAGGAACCATTTCAACTTTCTTCTTGTGTGCCTTCGGGTAGATTCTGACTCTTCCAAACCAAACTCACTGCCATCCAGTTGTCCCAACCGATAGCGACCTCTCCTTGGTTTTCTGAGGCGGTATCTCCCCGGAAGTAGATTGCCCAGTCTTCCTTCCGAGGAGTGGCTGGTGAGCTTGAGCTGCCAGCTTTCTGGTTAGCAGTCAAATGCCTTAGGCACTACACCACGAGAGCTGTCCCATAGGCTTTCCCAGGCTATAATCTTTAAGGCAGTTGACTGCTAACCAGAAGGCTGACGGTTTCCCACCAGCCACTCCTCGGAAGGAAAGTTGGGCAATCTACTTCCGTAGTGATACTGCCTCGGAAACCCAAGGAGGGGTCGCTATGAGTCCTGGTCGACTCCACCACGGGCAAGTAACAACAACAACAACAATCTTTATGGGAGCAGATCACTCCTGCAGAGCAGCTAGGTAAGTTTAACCATTGCACTACTGGGCCTCCTTTTCAACTTTCCTATAACCCCAAATGTCCCTCCTTTGCTCTTCCTTCCTTGGCTCCCTGCCAAGTCTATCCACCCATCCCTGGTTCAAATTCATCAGACAGTGTTTAAGCACACAGTCTTGGACGCTGCGGAACTCAGCTATTTGAGTTTTGGTTTTCTTATCTGTTCAATGGGGATACAATAATTATCCCCATCTTTCAACTGGGATCTTAAAAGCTTGCAACCGGTCATCTAGATGCCCTGATGGGTCTCTTCTTGTCCCGAGCAAAGAAGAAGAAAACCAAAGACACGTGAAAACAATTAGTCCAGGGGACTGGTAGACCATGTGATCCTCAGCCTATATGACCATGAGACCAGAAGAAGTAGATGGTGCCCGGCTATCACTGTCAACCACTTGGAGGGGGATCAGTGCATCAGACAGGGTAGAATTGCCCCTTAGGGTTTCCAAGACTGTGCTTTTTACAGAAGCAGACTACTACATCTTTCTCTCATGGAGTGGCTGGTGGGTTCAAATCAAATCAGTTAGCAGCTGAGGGCTTAACCACTGTGCACCAGGGTTCTCAGCTCTCTGGGTTCTAATTGGACTCCAGAAGTGGGCTAATCACTCAGACAGGGCTGACTGATAACACAGAACTCCCTTTAGCCACAGAGGTTCAGGCCTGGCCAATTATTCTAATTCCACCTCTCTGGCTACAGTGATTGGTTTGGGATGGGTGAATGATCCCAATTGGTCCAGAGTGAATCCCAGACATGTAGGAGCCTCAAGAAACAGATGATTTGTTCTCTGCTGAATTTAAACCTGAAAAGATGTAGACTCAGAAGGGCAGTATTTGTACAGGGAGATAGCTCAGGGGGCAGGAATGCTTAGGAAAGAAGGACACAGGGAAGAGATAGCTAAAGGGAGGAAGTGGGAAGAGTGCTGTTATGTTGTGGGGAATTGCAGTCAATGTCATGAAACAAAATGTGTATAAACTACTGTTGTTGTTATTTGCCATCGAGTCAGCCCCGACTCATAGCGACCCCTCCTTGGGTTTCAGGCAGTATCACTACGGAAGTAGGAATGCCCAACCTTCCTTCCAAGGAGTGGCTGGTGGGTTTGAACCATCAGCCTTCTGGTTAGCAGTCAAGTGCCTTAGGCACTATGCTACCAGAGCTCCTATAAACTACTGTATGGAAAATAAATTTTCTCTAAACTTTCACCCAAATCACAATAAAAATTTTAAAAAAAGAAAAAGACGCAGATTCAGAATTTTTGGCAGCAATCTTGTTACACTGTAGAGAGGGAAGCCAACATAGAGGAAAGTAGAGCCAAGTGATGGAAAGAGACCAGATCATGTGACAGTATTTAATGCCTGGTCAAGCCACATCTAAAGCCTGGCCTCTGGGCTTTTCAGTTCCATAGCCAATACATGTTTCCTTTTACTAAGTTAATTTTAAGTCAGATTTTCCAAAACAATATGGAGTAATTCACCATAGCTATTCTAACCTGGGCTCTCTGAGAATTAAAGTTTAGTATTTCTCTGGCTCCAGACACCTGCTGGTATGAGCTACTGGCTCTCAAATTCTCCCCAGTAAGTTTGGAAGTGCCCAGAAGATCCCTCCTGTGTGTTTGGCAAGCTAATCCTTTGGCATTCCTTCCACTCCCACTGGGAATGAAGAGAGCCTTCTTATTCTGCAGAAGCTAGGAGTGATAACCCTGTCTTAGCTGCCCAGTGAAGGAGCTAATAGTCAATATTGAGGGAAACAAAGCATGCACCCTCTAAAGGCACTGCTGATGTCTGGGTCTAGGTTGCTGAGATTGCTGGTGTTCCACCTAGCAGCACAAAGGTCTGCCTCCTGCTTGCTATTTCACATGTTCATAGCACTATTTATGGGGCACTCATCTTGTACTGGGAGCTCCAGTATTGTAGTGCCTAAGGCATTTGACTGTTAACCAGGAGGTTGGCGGTTTGAACCCACCAGCCACTCCTTGGAAGGAAGATTGGGTACTCTACTTCTGTAGTGATACCACCTCAGAAACCCAAGGAGGGCTCACTATGAGTCGGATCCAACTCGATGGCAGTGAGTTTACCTTTTTTGGTCACCTTGTACCAGGAGGTCTGGTTGTGCTGTGGTTATTCAGCTGCTAACCAAAAGGTCGGTGGTTCCAACCCACCACTTGCCTGGTGGGAGAAAGATGAGGCAGTCTGCTCTGGTAGAGATTTACAGCCTTGGAAACCCTATAGAGCAGTTGCACTCTGTCCTATACGGCCACTATGAGTCTGAGCATACTTAATGGCAGTGGGTTTGGTTTTTTGATTTGGTGCCTGGTACCAGACACTATGCTGGGAATTTTGTACTCATTCTCATATGTAATCCTCACAGCAACTTAAGGGTGGAAATGATTTTTTTTTTCTTTAAAATTTTTACTGTGATTTGAGTGAAAGTTTACAGAGCAAATTCATTTTCCACACAGCAGTTCATACATATTTTGTCTCATGACATTAAATGCAATTCCCCACAATGTAATAGCTCTCGTCCCACTTACTCCTTATGGTTACCTCTTCCCTGTGTCCTTCCCTCCCATGCACTCCCACTCCCTGACCTGTCTCCTTGTGAAACACTGCCCTTCTGTTCTCCTATGATTGATGGCTCCAAGGAGCATATCTACCTGATGTAAATGTTCACCCCATATGCCTATCTATTGTTTGGCTGGAGGCCACAGAAGTGAATTGAAGAAAATAACAAATGCTGGCGAGGTTGTGGAGAGATTGGGACTCTCATACACTGCTGGTGGGACTGTAAAATGGTACAACCATCGTGGAAAGCAGTATGGCGATTCCTTCATAAGTTGGAATT